TTACTATTATTTAAGCCCAGTGTTTATTTTATTTTTTAATGGTACGGTGTTATATGCTTTAGACATAATCGTCCAATGAAATAATTGTCCTATCTTATTATACTATAAATCACTTCATTCTTTAATGTAAGACTTTATTTGTACTTCTAACAAACTCAACATTGTTCAATTGGTTAGGATACCAATTTTCGACCAAACGATCTTGAGTTCGAATCCATACCTCACGTGTTGTATTTTAAAAAGTGTGTTTTTTAAAAGTGAAAATATTAAAAAATTAAAGGAAACAAAGCATAATTGTCAAAAATTAAAAACTAAAATCAAATTCTCATGGGGTTTAAAGGACGCCAAGAGCAACTTCACTGAGATGAAAGGTAGAATATAAAAAAAAGGTTTAAGGCCCAATATCAATTGAACTGAGATCCATTGGGCCTCAAATCAATCCTGGTCGAGATCATTACCGAGATGAAAGGTAAAATATAAAAATTTCTTCTCTTCAACTTGGTTTGTAGTTTACTTAATTTTACACTTCAATTTGTCTCTTGTTTAAAAAATCATGAAAATGAGACGTAAAAGTAACCTAAATTTATCTCCGGTTATACTCAACTCATTAGGCATGATAATTTTACAAACAAAAACTAAGAAATACATTTTCTAGCTTCAATATTGAATATTAGCAGTGACTCATCATTTTCTAGTTTTCCACGTATATGAATTATTATGAAAGCCTAACTCTATAGTCTTAAAGTTCGATTCAACTTCTAACCTTTAAAAGACGCCCAGAGCAACTTCAGGCCCTTAAATGAGTGACATATATTAATTAGTCCTTTGATAACATTGTTGCGGTTGTCTCATCACATACCAATAAGCTTTAATCACAAAATAAAAACTATGGCTGTAACTTTAAGAAAAACAGTCATTGGAAGAGGTAGATGAACGTTACTTTGTGGTGCTCCAAACCAATTTATTAGGTCCATAGGAAGGTTAGGGAACTTTGAATCAGATATTGACTTCTAGAAACTTGAAAGGTAGAATCACTGAAAAACTATCCTTTCGTGAGACTTCTTAATAGAGAAAATCTCATAGCTTATCTTTCTCAAATTCTCAATGGTAAGCATTACAACTATTTCCGTTAAGACATATGAAATTATGCGAGGTTTAGCACCCATTACCTCTTCCAATGGCTATCAATGTTACATCAACTTCTTTTTTTTTTTAAAGGATATTACATCAACTTCTGATTCACTTCGATTTTTCTTTTGAAATGTACAGGGGATGTTATTACTATATTTAAATGGTTTAAAGAAACATATTTGTCCAACTTTATATTAAATTAGTCCAATAGAAAAACTTTTAGCAATTGGACCCAAAGTTAAACAAGTCAAATTTATATGGCAGATTTTCTGAAAAAGGTAAATATAAATATAGTATCTAAATAAAAATCTACTAATTACCTAATTGAGTTATAGTTTCTTTTATTTATTATTATTATTATTTTAATATAGTTCCTTTTAGGGACCGTTGCAATTGCAAATATGATAAAACGTAAATTAATAACCATTTAATTTTTTCAAATATAGCATTTTTTTAAGAAAAAAATATAGATGTCCAATTTTAAAATACAACTCTAACTAGATGATATATATCTATAATATATCTGTAATATATATAACTACTGATATATGTGTTAAAGATCTTACATTGAAAACGGACCTTACATAAGTTTATAATAGATATATGACTACTCCTCCGATTGTCAATTAATTTTGAGATGGAACACCATAAATGTTAATAATATATATCTGATAGTGACTAATATAAGTGAAAATTTTTGCTATATTTAAAATGATATTACGTTTATATTAGTACTATTTTAATGATATTTTTTTACCTTCAATAATTTTTTTAAAATATCGTGATAGTATAAAAATATTGATGGATATTTAAAACTCTCCGAATAAGTGGTAAATCATAAGCAATATTTGCCTATTCTTAATGCGGTCATACTTTTGTAATGAGAGGAGGTGTATGATTGGCAAAAATCAAAGTCGGAACGATATCCAAAATGATATAAATGTTTGAAACAAAATTTTGCTTAGAAAATTACAAAATAGGAACAGAAATATAGAGACCTAAGTGGGGAAAGATATGGAGAGTAAAATAAATAAATTTAAAAAAGAAAAAAAGAGAAAAAAAAATACTCTTCTTCTTCTTGAACTATGGTCGTTTCTCTTGCTGTTGCGTGGCTTCACCAGTCCAATAAGTTTTGACAGCCACAAGAATCTTCTCTGGGTTGAATGGTCCACTTTCATGGTCCATAATTTGGCTCTTCCACCTCATTCCATCTGAAATTGTCTGAATCTTCACCAACACCTCCACTGTATCCCTGAAAATGACTGTCCCTTCTGGCCTCAATATCCTATCCATCTCCAGTAGAATGTAAGTTATATCACACCTGCAAATTCCCAATAATCCATTTATTTTCTAACCGCCTGTTTGGTAACGTTTTCAGAGAAACACCGAGCATTTTCTTGAATCTTACCTGTCTTGATATATGCTGAAGATGCCATTGGCATGGATGAGATCGTACGTTCTGGGGTACGTCGAGAAGGCCTCGCACCAGTCCTGGTACGTTCCAATGAACCCGCGCTCGTATATCACGCCCAGAGTGTCGCGGTCAGAATTG